ATAAATAAATAAAATCAGAAAGAAAGAAAGAAAGAGAAAGAGAGAAGGAGAGAGAGAGAAGGAACAAAAGAACAAAAGAACGAAAGAAAGAAAGAACAGACACAGAGAGCAGACGGCTCGGGCCTGACTGGGGGGGAGTGCTGGGCATGCAGGGCCTGCAATGTGGGCTGTCGGAGGGCCCTCCAGGCCACACACAGGAACATGTCGACAACCCCCAAGACGTGCACGGAGAGGCAAAGGGACCACAACAAGCTGGCTGTGAATCAGCCCTAACGCTGTGTCACGGGAGCTCACGCTACGAAGATGACTTCCAGGGACGCAAATAAAATGCAGTCGAGACGCTTACGTCCATGAACTGGCGCTGGTTCCTCAAGTGCTTGTCCAGAGCCACCATCTGCTGCTTCAGCGAAGAGAGCTCCTCAGCCTGCTTGGCACACGCTTCATGCCGGGACAGCTGTTCCTCCAGCTCAGCCTCGAAAACCTTCATCTGGGAAAGCAGAGCAGCGCGGTCTCTCTCGGACTGCTTCCTGGCCTCCGACTGCTCCTGGGTTAGACATTCCACTTCCCTACGGAGAGCTAAAGATACAAAGGAAACAGGGAGAAGAGCCCCACGGGTCAGGGAGGGTATTGGGCTAAAGCAGAGGCATGAAACATGGCAGGTGCCCCACACGACAGGGCCCTCCGGGGAGAGAACACACACGTCCAGCCTCCCTGGCAGCCCCAGCCCAAAGCCTGGCCGGGGGCAGGGGCGCAGCATTTCCCTGCGGAAACAAGGTGACACCTCCGGGGAGGAACATGCACTTGCAAGCCAGTGTGAGCCTGTGTCCTGTCAGACACGAAGCCCACCCCCCTAACAGCCAGCGTTTAGCCAAATACCCACTGAAAATAAAGTCAGGTACTTCAGAAGAAAAATATATATATATACATCTTTTAAATTAAGATTGGCTGAAATAAAAAAATTTAAAGCCCGAGAAGACTGTATCATGGTATTTCCAAATGACACATCAGTTAATTTCCTAGGAATTACGACGTTACATATATTCTCCAGTGTGGAAAAAATATATAACTTAAAACTTCCATCAGAGAGAACACGAGCCTCGATGTATAATGTGCTCCCTCCTTGTGCACCCAGGGCCGTGACAGCGTCTCGGAAGGAAAGGGTCCAGCCATCAGTTTGTCAAAAGCCAATCTAAAATTAACTGGATGATAAGGCCATAACCCAAGTGGAAACTGTAAATTCATAAGCATCTATAATAAAAGGAGGCTTGCCTCTGATGAGCCCTCAAGTGCTCAAACTATCTGCAAACTGAAATTTTAATTTCTTGTTTTGTTTTACAAAAATCTGTCAGTCTTTTATGCCAAACTAATAGAACGTTCCCAATCAATTCTCATGCTAGTAAGTCAGCACCTAGGGTAAATTACCTTAAACATGCAGTTAGAACAAGGTCATTCCCACCCCTGGAACCAGCCAGACAGCACCATCCTCAGGGCCACATGCTGGACTAAGGGCATCCACCACAGCACACGTGGCCCCATGCAGGTGGCACTGAGGGGAAGGTGTCATGTGGCAATTCAGGCCACACTGAGGGCCACCTACGAAGTCGGAGTGGCCCAGGAGCTCCACTCAGGGTCCCTGAGCCCCTCCCTCAAGACTTCCGGGGCCCCCAGAGCTGGCCCCCAGCCCAGGACAGTGCATCTACCACCAGATGTGGATCCCTGCACAGCTGCACAGGCCGTAGCTCACTAACCACAGAGCATCACTGGACAAATGCTTGTGCATGTTCATGTATCAATTCAGAAGGTTAAAGCTGGTATTTTTGTTAACAGTTTGCCACAAAAGCCTTGAAGTATTTTTCCTCTTTAGTAAAAAACTGGGGCAATCTGGTGCAGACATCACTCGTCTCACATAGCAATCACTGGACTGAGTTTACAAACCTGAGTCCTCGTGTGCTATGGGAACAGGAGTGCCTATGAATGAAAACACAGCATTTTCAGACGTGGAGACAGAAAGTTAGTCAGCGGGCTTCCAGGGCACGTCTGTGGTCCTGGACAGTCTCGAACATCCACGCTTTTCCGTAACGCCACCCCGATGGTCTGAACATCTGTGTCCCCCAACATCCGTACATTGAGCCTCACAAATGGGATCTGAGCCTTCCCAGAGGCCCCAGAGAGCGCCTGGCCCCTTCTGCATGTGAGCACACAGCCAAGAGGCTGGCGCTCATCAGAGGGCAGCGTGCCAGCGCCTTTATCGTGGACTTGCACCTCCAGGACGGAGGGCACAAGTGTCCATTGGTTGTACCCATCTGCACTATTCTGTGAGGGCAGCCCAGGCAGACTAGTTGCCTTTGGGTTGCAGCAGGTCCTGGATGCCAAAGGATATGGCACTGACTTTTAAAGAAGACAAAAACCCCACACGGGATAGAAGGCACTGCCCTGAAAACAGCCACGAAACATGCCACACACCTGCAAACAGGTGAGGCAGAGCTGAATTTCCCCACAAGGTGCAAGGACTTCCAAAAGCTCTTAGAAAGTTGGTCAACACTCACGAGGACCCCAGGCAGAATCAGGACCACACCCTGGACCGTAGCTGGGGAAGCCCGTGGTCAGGAAAGGTTAGGAGGTGCTGTGCAGATGGGCAGCATTGTATTTGTTTATTTTTAAAGATTTACTTATTTGAGAGAGATGGGGAGAGAGAGAGTGTGCACACATGCGTGTGAATGTGAGCAGGGGGAGGGGCAGAGGGAGAGAAGCAGACTCCGTGCTGAGCATGGAGCCCAATGCAGAGCTCGATCTCACCATCCTGAGATCATGACCTGAGCCGAAACCAAGAGTCTGATGCCTACCCGACTGAGCCACCAGGCGCCCTGGACAGAATTTTAAACAACTTAAGCATGCGTGAGTCCTGAAATGGAAGTACAGAATTGTGTGGATGGGTGAAGGGAAAGGAAGAGAGGTCAGAGAAGAAATTCAGCTGGAGCAAACAATGTAAGAAAAAAGCCAACCAAGGAGCCCAGAGGACCCCAGAGGAGTGACAAAGGGAAGCAGCAAAGACTGGCCTCACTCTCACTTCTGCCAAGGAGTGCCAGGGCTCTGGGCGCAGGGGCAACCAGAGATGCAGAAGGGCAGCTGTGTCCACAGCCTTGGGAAGACACGCAGGAGGAGCCAGGCCCAGGCACGGCGGAGCCGCTGGGGATGCACCTCACAGAGGTAGGGCCACTCAGACGAGGCTGCTCCCCAGCTCTGGGCTATGCGGCTGCTCAGCGGCTCAGGCCCCAGCTCTAAAGTCCCGACACCCGGGAAGTACGTACATTTACAGTGGTAAACTCAGTGGATGGGTGTGGGTCTGGCCACCCCACAGACCCTCAGGGCAGTAACAGCTGAGAATGAGCGGAAGGGGCCCTGCACAAGGCACAGAATCTGCAGAGCACACGTGCGCTTGCTCACCCCCACACACATGCCTGCCCACACTCACGTGCTCACTCTCACACAGGTGTACGCCCACACTCACATGCTCACTCTCACACAGGTGCAAGCCCACACTCACGTGCTCTCACACAGGTGCATGCCCACACTCAC